GTACCCAGCCCCTGTTAGTAGTCTGGCTGCCGAGCGTTGGACTAGCTGCAGCTTCCGGGCAGTCTTCAGAGGCATCCCCACGTAGAGAGCATTACAGTAATCTAGACGGGATGTAACCAAAGCGTGGACCACCGTGGCCAAGTCAGACTACGTATTAAAATGTAGTTCCATAAGAGATACATATTGGGGGGTTGTAGGTTTTTTTGGGCTATATGGCCATGTTCTAGAGCAGGGGTCCACAAACATTTTAAACAGAGGGCCAGGTCATAGTCCCTCATAGTCCGGATTATAATTTGAAAAAAAAAAAAGCCATGAATGAATTCCTAAGCACACGGCACATCTCTTATTTGTAGTGTAAAAAACACTTTAAAACAATACAATAATTAAAATGAGGAACAATGTTAACAAATATAAACTTATTAGTATTTCAATGGGAACGGCGGGCCTGCTCTTGGCTGATGAGATAGGATTGTTGTTGTTGTGTGCTTTCAAGTCGTTTCACACTTAGATTGACTCTGAGCGAGGGCTGGGTAAATGACCTTGGAGGGCTGCATCCGTTTGAGGACCCCTGTTCTAGAGGCATTCTCTCCTGACGTTTCACCTGCATCTATGGCAAGCATCCTCAGACGTAGTAAGGTAGTGAAAGCCTTCAACGATACATTGAGATACATATTATTTGGCCTGCTTGAAGCAAGCACGTAAAACTTGTATTTTTGAAGGCTTTCACAGCCAGAATCACTGGCGTGTTGTGTGGTTTCCGGGCTGTATAACCATTACATTCTAGCAGCATTTCCTCCTGACATTTCACCTGTATCTGTGGCCGGCACCTTCAGAGGATCTGATGGTAGTAAAGCATAGGATATACTCCACTTGCTGGAGAAAATGCTGCCAGAACATGGCCATACAGCCTGGAAACCACACAACACCCCAAGTCAAACTTGCTTTCATTGTTGCATGTAATCTATCTCATCTAGAAGAGTAGCTAGATAAGAGAAAAATCATGTAACTTTGGTTACAGGGTCCCTGGTACCAACTTTCAGGTCTGTGTGTGTAAGAGAGGCTTCCTGGTGCTCAATTCTCAAACGAAGGGAGCGCCAGGAAGGGAAAGGAAGGTGAAGTGGCCTCTCCATGTAGCAGGAAGCAAAGCACCTTGAGTTACACAGATCTAGGAAGGAGAGGTGAAGACATGACAGCAGCAGTGCATGCACCCCTGTGCCCCCTTTGTCCCCAATTGCTTCCTCTATGCAAGTGTTGTGGGCAGGTGGGCAGAAGAGAACGTTGCAAACTGACCGTTGATCTGTGCTAAGCTCTGTTTCCTCTCCTTCTCTCTGGGCAGGAAGGCCATCGAGGGGCTCCTGGCCCTGAGCGACGATGGATGCTCCCCCATCTCCATCCAGCAAATGGCCTACGGTGCGTCTCTCTCGGGTCTTTTGGGGCAGAGGGGTTTCCTGCAGGGACTGGACTTAAGAGAGGGGCACTAGAGCCCCATTTTTGTCTTCCCTGGCCTGTGGACGGGGTGGGTCAGGAACCTGTGGCTTTGGCGGCACTGAACGATTGCAGCGGGGAACCCCAGAAAAGACATGAGGGAGGAATGGGGCCTGTTCCTCCTATTTTTGTAGTATGTGTGGGGAGTGGGTTTCAGCCTGGTTGATTGGGCCCAGCAGCCCCTTGCAAGCCTGAAATTTGCTTGGGGGGTTTCAGATTTGTGTCCTAATCAAGAGATGAAAGCAGGATATTATTAATAATAAAATAATGATAACAACAACAACAACAACAACGACAGGTGGGGTAGGGGGCTCCTTGGGAGAAACAGGGTGAGCAAGAGTTTCACAACTTTTTTTGAATTAACTTTTTAGACTCATGAGGGCTTTATTCTAGCCAGAATTAAAGGGAAAGGAACGTACAAGGAGTTGAATCAGGCAATCCTCATGGTTGAACAGATAAAATAATGCAAAGAGCAGAGGTACAACTGTGCTGAGAAGAAGAGGGATATGTATAGAAATGTGGCGCAGTGGGTTAAACCACTGAGTTGCTGAACTTGCTGACCGAAAGGTTAGCGGTTTGAATCCGGGGAGTGAGGTGACCTCCTGCTGTTAGCCCCAGCTTTTGCCAACCTAGCAGTTCGAAAACATGCAAATGTGAGTAGATCAATAGGTGCCACTTCTGCAGGAAGGCAACGGCGCTCCATGCAGTCATGCTGACCACATTAACTTAGAGACGTCTACAGAAAACACCAGCTCTTCAGCTTAGAAATGGAGATGAGCACCAGAGTCAGACGTGACTAGACTTAATGTTAAGGGGAAACATTTACCTTTATCTATACAAATGCAAAGGATAGGAAAAAAGGAATCAATAGAATGTTACAGGAAAATATGAAGAAAATTATTGTTGTAATAGTGACTGTGACAATGTTATATTTTACTTATATAACCGGATACAACTATGTTTAAGAAGAGGTGAATGCAGGATATCAATAATATTAATGACATCTGGGGGTAGGGGGCTGCCTGGGAGAAGCAGGGAGGGCAGCAGTTTCACACCTTTTTTGGATTCACTTCTTACACTCTTTTAAAAAGAGTAAACAGTAAAAAAAAGCTTTTTTAAAAAAGTAAACAGTAAAAAAAAAACAGAACTAAACAGGAAGTGATATTCAGTCAGTTCCTGTTTTGAAACCAAGGGGCCCTGCAGCGGCATAGGGAGCGAAACAGAGGGGGAGTTGGGCAAGGAGGGCAGCAAGGAAGGTTTCCTTCCCCCAAATTCCTTGGGGAGAATACAGCAGCTCCTGAGACCCTGCAATTACCCTTCTGTTGGGCAGAGCTCAGTCTCTGGTCCTTGCCCTGCTTTGTTGTTGTTGTT